AAAACAAAAAAACAACAACAACAACCTATAGCCACCTTCACTGAGTTCTCAGTAAACATTTTCCTGATGATGATTGAGTCTTAATGAAAACAACATGTGGACTCAATTCACAAGCATTTTCTTATTGCTAATTCAGATTTCAAAGTAGGCTATAACTTTATTTAGTTTAGTGAAGTCCAATTAAGTCACAGTCTGGTCAAAAGATCTTGCAGGTGCATTCCTATAAACCTTACACAGCTGGTGTGGAAAAATCTTTTCTTGTCTTTCAGTCCATAAGTATAGTTTTTAACAAAAACATATGTAATAGCCATAATCATATATCACCACAGAAACACTTACTGCATATAAAATATATATAAGCAGTCTCGTCTGTCATCACACTGCTCCAGTGGATGAAAGCCAGGAGGTGCAGATGCTGTGACAGGCTGGCAACCTGGGTTTACCCTGCGTCTTGGCCTCTGCCAGCTGTGATAGGCTCCACCCGCCAAGACGGAAGAGAATGAGTGGTGGGAGGTGCAGCTGAAAGCTGTAGAAATCATTCAAAACTGTGCTTGTCTGATTATTATATTATTTCAAAGGGTGAGCGCTCCTTGCCCTTTGGTTCTTAATATTCTAAATGACCAGAATCATGAAGTATGTATCACTCGTTCCTTATGTGACTGCCATTTGCCTTCCTCACCGATGCCCGTGTGACATTATGTCCCTGGACTTTAGCACATTTAACCTTTCAGCTCGCTGTAAGTCACTGTGGATGAGAGCAGCTGCCGAACTTTTAAAATGTTAATATGAGATTCACTCTCTGTGATTTCTGTTCTGCAGTCTGACTCAGACTTTGGCACTTCTCTGCCCTTTTCACTGAAGACAGATTCACGGCCCAGTGTTGGCATATGGCCTCTGCACTATCCAGCATTAACCCTGACCACACATGTGACCTCTGACCCCACACGTGACCTCTGACCCCTGTGGCAGCACACAAATTAATTTTTCTCTTTGACTGAAAGATGAATTCTTTAAAATCCACCATAATTAAATTTAGCAGCCTTGCTGTCCTGAATGCGCTCGTGTATACATGTGTGTGAAAATGAGACTGCAGTGGGACAAACACACAAATGTTACATTTTGTAGTGTAACGTCACAACTTTATCCAGCACAGATAAAGCACTCACACAAAAAACTAATATTTGAACTGAGCACAAATAATTTCTTTGATGTTTTGACACGTGGTGGCAGATTTCGGACTAGCTCCCATGTGACTTCTTTTCATTTCTTGCTCATCTGCTCTAAGAAGTAACCTGATTTGGAAAAGTTCCCTTGAAATAGACACCATGGGGGGTTAATTAATTCAAGAAAGGTAAACATGCATTTGTTGTAGCTGCAGCTCTACGGGGATGTGGCTGTGTGTAATCTATCTTTTCTCTGGCTGTTGGCCAGGTTTCAACAGGGCACTCTACCAGAGCACTCTGACATAGGTAAATATAAAAAATACATGACTGTTGCTTTTATTTTGTGTCTGTAAATCAGGATAGCACAATCGAAGTTCAACTGAGATGGTGCTTAGGAAAGAAAAATCTGTGTTACTTTCTTCATCTAATGAAATATTGATGTGGCTAGATTTGCAGAGGCTTTGTGTGATCTGAACTACGCTGAATGTAATTTCTTGCACTTGCTCTAATGTGTCGTAAGCTTTGTGTTAAAGCATTCTGAGACTTAAGTGTAGATGGCAGATTATCGTATTACATTAAGATAGACGGTGCTTCTTTGGTGCCTCAAAAATCTCCATATTAAGGAAAATGCTCTCTTTGAAACAGGCTTACATTACAAAGTGTATCGATCAAAGTGAGCCATTTAGGCTCCATCTTCATAAAGATTTTTATCTTTTTTCCTTAAAACTGTGATATAAAATAATGAAAGAAAGGGACTAGCTAACTAACTTCTGGCCCAGTGGTGGAATATTCTATGCAACCCTGTTTCCAAGAAAGTTTAAAATATAAATAGAAGAAGGGGGGATTTAAAAAACAAAAAACAAACAAAACCAAAGCCAAACATATGCTTAATTTGACTTTGATGCCAGAAACACTTAAGCATGATTCCCACTGCACGTTGCATCACCTCTCCATTTAACAGCACGCTCTAAGTGTTTCAGAACTGAGGGCATCACTTGCTGTGGTTTCTAAAGCTTTCTGGATACTGGATTTCAGCTGCTTCAGGGCAAAACTCAACATCACAGCCGTTGGTTTTCAGCCTTGTCCCTTGCATACAAAGATTTATCCCAGTTTAATGATACTGAGCACTGAAGATGATGAAGATTTCACATTCTTTTTGTGTTTTTACACTGAGAAATGTTATCCTTAAACTATTAAATGACTTGCCTCTTCCACAGAATGATGAACCACCCTCCAGTACTCCCCACCATCTTTTGTTCCAAAAGCCTATTTATAATAGAATATAAGGACACATCTTTTCAGTTTCTAAATTCACAACTGACTCGAATTATTATTTCATGGTTGGTACAGTGTTTGGCTTATTCCTCTTGAAACTGCAGCGCCGCAGCCTCGTGTGGCTCTTTTACCCATTTCCAGTGATTCCCTGTGACCCTGAGCCAAAAACAAACAACCCAACCAACTTTGAATATTTGCATCACAGCCTGTGTGTGTTACGTTGACCATTATCGTGTTCATTTTGCATACATGCAAAGATAACAATGGCTTGTGCTATAAATCTCTAGAGAAAACACAGAATTTAACAATGCAAGGATAAACCTTCACCATCAACCCTGCTAGCTTAGCAGTGGCAGTGAAACTGGCATGTTTTATAATTATTTTTACAATTGTAAATGGCTTTGGCTGCTGCATGTTCTACTTATTATAAAAGCAGGTGTTATTTTCACTGATTTGCATAAACCCAGTAGGTGTCAAGATAAACCTAAAGCATAGATTTTCCTAAAGCATAAGCAAAGTAAATGATTTTGTTCTGTTCTAATTTAATTTAAAAAAGGAAAATATGATGTTATTATCACATAAATACCATATTTTAAGTGCCAAAAATTCATAGATTCCCGGCGGTAGAGTAATCACATGCAGTAGTTTTCATTATCTTTACCTGTGAACATGTTTTTAAATAATTGCTTTTAGAAATTATTTAAAATGGGACATTTTTTTGTCAAAGTTAGTATGTGTTAATCTCAAGAGTCAAGCTCAGCTCTCTTTAGCAGACATATGTTTTTGCAGTCATTATTCTTAATTTTTAATAATCCTTCTTTATGGACTTCATGGACTTTCTTTTTGTTTTCTGCTAGTGTGTTTAAATTATTAATCCTGTCCAGGTGAGGTCCAGCTTTCCTAAGGATAACATCTTATGTTCAATTAAATAATCTTTGGTAA